CATGCTGTGGCCATCACTGAAACATTAAGAGACCATCATGGCTGGAATACTGCCCACTCCCCGCAGAGACACACAGAAGTCCTGGAACCTCCTATAGGGTCTTAGAGGATGTTTTTAGCTACACTGTCAAAGTCAGACCACAGTCGGGTGGGGTCCTTGTAAAAGAAGAGAGGAGACACCAAGGGGAAGGATGGCCAAGTGACTCTGTACCTCTACGCTGAGCGTCAGCCCTGAGCCTCTGGCCTGGGAAGCTGGGAGGGACGTGGGTCTTCCCCCAGCAGGACGGGAGACCTGCTAATGCCACCAGTTTGCACATCTAGTCTCCCAAACTGTCAGAAAATCCTTTTCTGTGGTGTCAGGTCCCCCACCTTTGGAGGTGTTTTGTCACCGCAGTCCTGGGACCCTGGATCTTACAGATAGGGAGACCTGTACAGCCCAGGCCTGGTCGGCTCCACTCCACACTCCAAGGAGAGAGAGGGGCTCGGGCTCTGAGGATAAACTCCGGAGGGCAGCGACCCATTGGGGGTTGGAGGAAGCCTGCCAGCAGAGACAGCAGTGGCTGGGGGAGTTCTGCCCCTAAGTTTTTCTTCATCTCGTGCCAGGAATATTGCGGAATGCCAACGCTCACTTTGGTAATCATGCCCACTAAGCTCTTCGGGACCTCTGACGTTCCTGCGTCAGCATGGGGAAATCCGCGGTGGCAAACGGCTGAGTGTCCCATCCCACGGTGAGTGTTCTCAGGCTGGCTGCCGCCCATGGGCACAGGCCACACCTGCTTTCCCTGAAGCACCCAATTTTAAGAACGAATCCTTCAGACACTCAGAAACCCGAACTTTTCTGCCGTTAGCTGGACGCCAAGCACAGTACACACAGCTTGAGGCGTCCACCTCTGGGCCAGTTCCACCTCCTCTCTGCCCACCAGGGGGGCTGCACCGGCCAGGGGTTAGAAGTCAAGAACCAGAATCAGGGTCTCTTCCTAACAGTAGGCCAGATGGTTCCCCCAAAGAGAAGGTCCCCCTCACCCTCCTCCTCCTCCCCAGGCTCTATCCCAGACACACAGGGGAGCTGTGGGGCTGGCGGGGAGGGGCACTGCAGAGCAGGGGTGGCAAAGAGCGACAGTGGCAGGCTGCCCCCCGAGGAATTCATTGCCACCTCGGCCCCCGTCTGCACTGAAGCTACAGCAGAGAGGGTCTACATAGAAGCTGCTTGGCCCAAAGGTGGTTTGCGAAACTTCAGAACTCTGGCTGCTGCCCTGCTTCGAAGGAACCCCCCTAACCTCTCCCCCTGAAACTCAGGACCCACCTGCCCCATCACTACTTCCTCTGCCTCCCTGCAAAATCATACTTTTGGGGCAACTTTGCCAAAACACCTCATGGACCTGGTATATAGAGGGCAGGGCCCAGGGCGTGGGACCCATGTTAATATACCACCCACCCCCCTCTGTCCCCACAGCCATAGGGTCTACTGCGACACATATGGCCCCTGTAGGGTGAACTAGAACTGCCCCCTGTGCGGTTCCCACGCTGTGAATCCTTATGGAAGCACACAGCCTCCTCTTTCTCCCTCGGGGCGGCTGGTGGACTCAAACCACCGACCTTTGTTTAGCAGCCTGACTAGGGTTAACAAATACCAGGGTTAGAAATCGTGTGGCCGGAGCAAGGGAAGAGAGGGGGTGGCCGGCACCGTACCGTGGAAGGGTTAATCTCGCTGGGATCCACGTACATCCTGCTGACGTCATAGAGGGAGTTTATATCTCTTTCCTGGAGAAACAAAAATAAGAGCAAAGGAGAAGACATGGATCCATCTTTCCTCCTAGCCTGCAGCTCTAGGCTTCCTGGCATGAGCTTGCCCCTGAGGCCCTGTCCTCCTTACACTGCTCCGGGACTACGTTCAGCTACTAACCTGCACGTTGGAGGTTCAAACCCACTGGGCGGTGCTGTAGAAGTGAGCACCTGGTGAACTGCTTCTGTGAGGACCCCATTAAACACACCTTTTTGTGTTGGGGTTTTTGTACCAGCAAGGCACCCAGAGGACTATGTAGGCACTGCTTAGCCTGTCACCTCGCCGCTTGACTGGAGGGCCACTGAGATAGAAATGACTCTCTGAGGGTGGCCCCTTTCTCTCTGTGCATTCTCCTTCCTGCTGGAAAGCCACGCTGGACCTTCAAGCCTGAGACACAGCCAGCACCGTGGGATCCACAAGACTTTGTGTTCACCAGCCCGTGAGCTCCCTGTCTTCCGCATCATTGCCTGTGGCTGCGTGAGTCTCAGGAGGGATTTATGGACTAGTAGCGGATTTATGGACTTGATCTGGACTAGGCAGGGATGTTTCCTTGATATCCAAATTCTCCTTGATAGAAAGCTCTTTCTTACGTATATATGAGTGCCTCTGGATTTGTTTCTCTGGTCTACCCGGCCTAGCACACCTGTGGAGCAGTTGTCCTGGGCACACATGGGGCAGCTGTGCACAGGGATCAACTGGACAACAGTAGGTATGGTTCAGCCTTTGCTGGCGGAGTGGAGACAGCATAGGGGTTACTTCAGGGCCCAGGCGAGAAGGGGAAGCTAAAAAGTTCTCCAAATCATGGAAGCTTTGGCTCAAGCGATCAAGGCCCCTCTCCTGGCTTGCTCTGTGCTCTGCTGTAGACACACTGAGGGTCCTGGAACCAGCACAGGCCAGAGAGCCCACCCCGTGTCCAGAAACACCACAGTGGTGCCTTGAGGTGGCCACGGGGACAGTGTTTACACCACTGGAAGCAGCCAAGGTTACAGAACAGGCAACCTTCCCCAGTGACCCGATGGCTATGACCCAGCTCCATCCTCGTCCAGCTCCCTGGGAGCCTCCCTGGGCTCTGGCCACCCCGCCTATGTCCCCCACCTGCAGGTCTGTGTCCCTTGGCTGCCACCATCTGAGCACTTGCCGTCTCCTGAACCCTTCCCTGAGCCCACAAGACTCCATGAATCCAAGTGCCAGGGGCGCTTTAGGGTTCAGAGGCAATGACTGTGTCTTACCACAGCCTCCCAGGCCCCTCAACCAGCTCCCTGGGGACCCCTTCTTCCCTCAGTTCTCCCTGCTCCAGCCCCCCACCCCGTCACAGGCTTCCTCGCCAGTCTGGGCCTCAGGCCCTCTGGACTCGCTGCTGCTTCTCTGTACAGAGCAGCCTGCTCACCACCTCCCCTGCCGCCAGCTCTAAAGATCTCCTCTGTCTCCACCCATCTCAGAGTGCGCGGCTCTGTGGTTGTGTGTGAACTGAGGGGACCCAGGGGGATGAGGCTAGCGGCTCCCACGCCCCAAGGGCGCCCCCACCTACCATGTTGTATCGCTCCAGCAGCTCGGGTGTCACGGGGTAGCGCAGCCTCATCTTTCGGTACAGCGCGTGCTTCTCGTAGTAGCTGACCAGCTCCACCAGGCTCTCGAAGTAGGCCGAGGTCCCCAGCACAAAGTGCCGGCCGTCCCGCGTGACCCGGCAGTGCTTCACCTTCCCCCGGGCCCTGGATGGGGGACCCCAAGCCAGAAGTCACCCCGCCACCCCTGCCGGCGGTCAGGTTAGCCAGTATGTTAGAAGCCGAGTGCCAGCCCTTTCTTGTGAGGTGCCTCTGGGGGGATGTGAGCCTCCAGCCCCTTGGTGAGCAGACCAGAGTGCTCACAGCGGGCACCACCCAGGGACAGCAAGAGAACCCCAATAGGTGGCACCTTTACGGAAGAGTCCTCAAGAGGTTCGAAGGGGAGCCTCAAAACACTGAGGAAATTCAGTTCTCTTTCTAAGACGCCGAGGCACCCTGGTGGCAGAGTGGCTATGTCTAAGACTGCTAACCACAAGGTCAGCAGTTCAAAACTACCAGCCACTGTGCAGGAGAAAGAGGGGGCTTTCTGGTCCCGTAAACAGGAGCCCTGGTGGGGCAGTGGTTACACGCTGGGCTGCGAACCACGCGGTCAGCAGTTTGAAATCACCAGCAGCTCCTGGGCAGAAAGACTGGGCTTTCTACTCCCATCAGCAGTTGCAGCCTCTGAAACCCCCAGGGCTGCTTCGGGCCCCCACGGACTCCATGGCAGAGTTTGAGCTTTTTCCCATTTTCCCCCAGACTTCCTGAGTGACCCTGTGACTAGCGGATTTGGCTCTAGGGACACACACACACTAGATCTGAGATTTGGGGGTCCAAACCGGCTTGTTGGCTGGTTTTATTGGTAAAGCTTTATTGGCACACAGCCCTGTTCATATGTAGTCGCAGCAGGGACCTGGCCGTCCGCCGGGCCTCAGACAGTCTCTCCTCCAGGGCCGTATGGAATGGAGGCTGGATTCTGGCCGGCAGCACCTCAAAAGTCAGTGTCCACATCTTGGACACTGAGAGCTCCTCTCCAAGGAAAAGGATTTTTAAAGGGAATGTGTTTCAAGAGGGAAGCAGCGCTTTTGTTTCTTCATGGAAACAAGAGGCCGAGAAGAAGAAAAGAGCAGGAGAACGATGGAAACAGGAGCAGGCTTCTCCAGTCTCCTGAAGTGAGCTCTGGCCCACTGGTACAGCTGGGGAGCCTCGTCATGAACCCCAAAGAGCCCCACATCTGGGCAGACGGCTGAGCTGCTTCCACGTGCGTTGTCTCCTTGTGTTGCTTAAACAACAGCGCAGCAGACACACCACCACCTCCCGTGAAAGCCTTCCCTTCACGGACTCGTGTGACAAGAAACGCTAGCAGACCTCTCCGCCGGGCCCTCTTTGCAGTGGTCTTCATTCGTTTGGAGTTTTATTTTAAAAGCACAGATGAGGAAGGCCGCAGGGTGGGGGACAGAGCATGCTGGGGTTGAAACTGGCATGCCAGGCTGTTTGTGGTTTTAAAAACACACACAAAAAAACAGAGCAAAATGCCCATGCACGGGAGGGGCTCTCGATTTCCCATCAGAAAACGCTTCCAAACAGATTGGAGAACGTCTGTGTGTACACACGTGCATGTACATGCATATGTTAATGTGTATATACACTGTGCACGCCTACACCCTAAGAAACTCTCCCTCACCAGCCCAAGGACTAACGTAAGGACCAAACGACATTGAAACTTCTGTCCTGTCTTAAAATTTTTCTTAAGAAAAAACTTTAATAAGTCATTGTACTGGGGGCTCTTACAGCTATTATCATAATCCACACATGCATTGTGTCAAACATATTTGTACAAGTGTTGCCATCATCCTTTTAAAAACGTTTTCTTTCTACTCGAACCCTTGGTCATTTTTCCCCTCCCTCCCTCACCCAGCCACCCTCATGGTCTTAGCCTTTTTCCAAGGAGCTTTCTCTGGGAGGTGTGTACAGCCCCACCCTGCTCCCCTGGCCCATGTGCCCTACCCCTGCCCCGAGTGTCCTCTGGCGTGGGTGTGCCGCGTCTGCTCCCCTTACCTGAAGGTGATGGCATAGGAGTCGGCCCCTTCTCGCTTCCGGACGAGGAAGGCCCCGTCCCGGGGGACCCTCATCAGCATGTCCTCTGCTTCCCCACGGCTCAACCCATCGTAGTACCACCTACGCAGAAGGGCGTGACCAGGGGAGAGAAAGCAAGGCTGCAGGGGACCGGCCAGGTGAGAGATGGAGGCGTAGGGAGGGGCCAGGTGAGAGAGAAGCAATCTGCTGGGGACACAGCCGGGGAGACAGCAGCTACAGAGGGGCATGGGCATCACAGAGCAGGCTGCCCACTCTCTTGGCCAAAAACAATTTTTGAAGTGCACGTGACCACACACGTGGGGGGGGGGGGGGACTTTGGTGCCAGGGCCAGCGTGGGCCCCGGAGAATGAATTCACATGCGTGCACCAGGACCACGCACAAGCAGCGGGTGGGCTTTGGGGCTACATCTAAGGACCTAGAACAGGAGTGATGGGCGCCCGTGCCACAGTGAGCGTTAACAACCATCACAGAGTGGTACGGGGAAGAGCGTCCCAGTGGAAACGCTCTACTTCGAGTATACGGATTGCTTCCTTCCCCCCCTCCCCCCCACCCCAAAAGGCCACTGGGCCTGGAAACGCAGACTGGGAAAGGGAGAGCAGACAGAAAACCGTTCCAAGAACAGTGTGGTAGTTACATAATCTGCTGTCAATTTGAGACTTGACTGAAGGGGTGGAGGTTAGCCTGTCAATCAGGTGGCAGCTCATTTGGAGGCGCTAAGGAGATAAATAGCTCACTGGAGGTGGGACACAGGCTTACTCCCTGTGAGACATTCCTGACGAGCCACATGGAGCTCTGCTGATGGCAGCCTGGGCCCTGGGACCTGGAGGAGCCACGTGGAGACCCACACCAGGTGATTACACCGCCACTGGATCCACAAGACCTTCCACCCACTGGCCTGTGATCTTTCTGCATTCGGCATCAATGCATGTGTTTCGTGAGTCTGAAGAGGACTTTATAGATTGGTATCAGATATATGGGCTAATATTGGACTTATGGACTTGATGCGGACTAGGCTGGGATGTGTTCTCAATATTCAACTGCTCTTGTATATAAAGCTATTTCTTATACTCATACGAGTCTCTCTGAAGTTGTTTCTCTAGTCTACCTGGACTAACGCAAACGATATTCGTTCTGGTCCCTGCACAGAAACGGAGGTGTGGCATTACAAAAACGGATCTCTGGTTTCTTTTCAGGTCTAGCAGGCAGGGTCTCTGATAAGCAGAAAGGTGTGTATGTGTGTCACACACACACACACACACACACACACACTCACACACTCACTCGCATTGGGATTAGAGAGAGGAGCGAGGGACAGGAGCACGGAGCGGAGCAGGCAGGGGCGATGGCTAGCAGGGGCCCCTTGGGGGTGGTTGCAGACCCCAGTGGCCCCAGCCTGGTCTCACTCACGGTTTTGATTCATGCGGGTTGGGGTTGGGCACTGGGTCTGTGAGCCGCAGCTCGAACTCCGCGCAGCGCAGGTGGCTCTCGCGGTAGTGCTGCACCAGGGCGTAGATGCTGGTGAACATGAGGTTGTCCGTCAGGTAGTACTTCATGGTCCCGCCCTCCATGGTGGAGCGGATGCGGCAGTGCTGGACCCGGCCTGACCGCCTGTGGGACAGGGGCACAGTCACCACGGCTGCTGGAAGCGGGGCCAGGGTGGGTGCAGAGCCACAGCAGGGCCCGCAGGGGGTGTCACACAAGCCACCCCTCTGCCCTCAGAACAGGCTTTCCAATCGGCTGTGCTCTGCACCCCACATCCTACCCCAGCTAGATTCCAGAACATTCCACATCAGTCTAGATCTGTGGTCCTCAACCTGTGGCCTGCGACCCCCTTTGGGGGTCCAACGACCCTTTCACAGGGGTCGCCCGATTCATAACAGCAGCAAAATGACAGTGATGAAGTAGCGATGAAAGTAATTTTATGGTTGGGGGGGGTCACCACAACATGAGGAACTGTCTTAAACGGTTGTGGCATTAGGAAAGTTGAGAACCACTGCTCTAGATTACAAAACATTCTACTTGCTCTAGATTTATTCTACCTTGGGCTAGATTCTAGAACATTCTACCGACTCTAGATTCCAGACATTTGAACCCACTCTAGATTCCAAATAAGTTTACCTGCTCTAGATTCTAGAACATTCTAAATCAGTCCAGATTTCAGAACATTCTGCTTACTCTATGTTCCATTCTACCTTGGTCTATATTCCAGACTATTCTACCTCAGTCTAGATTATAGCATGTTCAACCTGTTCTATGTAACAGAACATTCTAACCACTCTAGATTCCAGAACATTTTACCTCTGTCTAGATTACAGAACATTCTACCTGCTCTGTGTTCCAGACCATTCTAACACACTCTAGATTCTAGGCTATTTTATCTGAGTCCAGATTCCAGACCATTCTAACCTAATCTAAATTCCTGATCCTCTACCTCTGTCTAGATCCCAGATCATTCTAATCCACTCTAGAATCCAAATCATCCTACCTACCCTAGATCCTAGATCATTCTAATCTACTCTAGATCCCACAACCTTCTCCCCATTCACTCTTTCCTCGTTTACCCATATAACTCCTCCCTGAGACCCAGACAGTCCAAGTTCAGATCCGACCCTGCCACTTACAAACTGGGTGACTGAACAAGTCGCCTTGCCTCTCTGAGCCTCAGTTTCCCCAGCCCTGAAACAAGGATCAGAATAGAGTCCACCTGGTGGAGTCATCCTGGAAATCCAATGAGGGAGCACTAGGGTGTGCCTGGCATGCTGCCCAGCACCGGGCAAATGTGACAAAGGCGTGAGTTCCCACTCTGCTATTATGGACCATTACCCCGCAGGCCCCACCTCATCCACTGCTTCCTCCAGGAAGTCTTCCCTGACCCCACCCGCCACCCTGGTCTCAAAAATCCACAGGTGAACCCTGTCTTCTCTGCACTTGTCCCTACTCTGACGGGACGCCCTTTGCAATATCACCTGTAACGTTACCACCTCCCCAAGGGCAGGTTGGTCTGTCTATCCATCGTACTAAGCAGGACACAAGACCCCTAGGGTCACGATGATTGAGGGCTTTCTGCTAACTGAAAGGCCGGTCACTCAAACCCACCAGCCGCTCTGTGGGAGAAGAGATCTGGTCATTGACTGGGAACCCCATGGGGCTGTTCTGCTCAGGCAGATAGAGCACTCGGGGGCTGACACCCACCTGGTGGCACCTAGACAGCACTAGCACCAAGCGAGGGTCTCTTACTAGTGGACGCCCACGCAAATGATGCACTAGCAAGCCACTCTGCTACCATTTCTCACACCGTCCTCCTGGCCACTCTCTGGCCGAGAAGACACAGGCTGAGTGTGTTAGCCTCAATCGCACGGGCCCTGCGGGCAGGGCTGCGATTCTGAGCAGATGAGACCCCACGGGACAAGTGTCCTCCGTGGTCATCACTCTGTGTGTGTTATCCTCTCGGGGACCGCACTGAAACATTCTTCATCGCTGCCTTTTGCGGAGCCCCTGAACCCTAGCACCCCCGGGATGAGCGCGGGGCTGGGGTGGCCCGGGGAGGACGCACCAGAAGGAGAGGGTGTAGTCGTTGGGGTAGGTCTCGCTCTCGCGCACCAAGAAGGTCCCATCCTTGGCCCCGGACTCGGCACAGTACTCCTGCAGCAGCTTCTCGGCGCTGGTGCGCTTCTCCACCTTCTTGTGGAACCACTTCTCCCCGAAGTGCAGCTCCGTGGGGGGCGTGTCCTGGGCACAGTGGGGGGTGGGGGACATGGATGCACAGGAAGCCAACATTGACAAGCAGGCTAAGTCAGCACCCTGCTGACTGGGACTGGGCAGAGCAGAGCCCAGTCCTGCCTGGCCCTCCCCTCAGAGGCCTGGGAAGACCACTGCTGGAGACCACTCTGCCCTCCCCCTACCAGAGAGACCCCGCTTATGGTGGCTTCTGCAGTCCCGGGACATGACAGTAAGGGCTCCCTCGACTTGATGCCAAGTTGGAAAGCCATGGTGTCTTGGTGGCTCCGCTCAAGAGAGAATTCCAAGAATGGCCCACAGTGGAGGGAAGAGGGCCAGAAAACCCGGGACCAGGCTGTCGCTGGAGAGAGCATCCCAATGTCCCCATTGGCCTCAGGGAGCACAGGCCACCACCCTATTGGTTAAACATGCAGGCAGACAGCCACTCACAGTAGAGCTATGCAGGCCTTGGTACCCAACCAGGTAGCTAGCTCCTTAGCATTAAGGAACTCCGCTTGAGGCCGTCAGGGGACCAGCATAGGTGATGGGCCCAGGAGCAGCCCAGTTCTGGAGGTCATGGTAGCTGGGGGTCCACCTACCTGGGGCAGCTCCTCTTCCACCACCTGTTCAATGTCGTCACTGAAGGACAGCTTGGCGTCGGCAATGGCACAGTAGTGCCGGGTCCACTTCTACAAGTGAGAACAGTGTTGGCCTCCAGAGAGACATCAGTCTCCACCCACCTACCCAGGGCTGCTCCCCTGCCCTGTCTGGGTCCCCAGCATTCAGCATTCAATTCCCGTTTCCGGACCTCAGGGATCAAATCACTGATGTAAGTGGACAGCTTTTAAACTGAATATGAAAGGAGTCCTGGCTGCCCAGTGGTTACATGTTGGGCTGCTAACTGCAAGGTCAGCGGTTAGAAACCACCAGCCGCTCCTCGGGAAACAGCTGAGGCTCTGTACTCCCGTTGAGACTCACAGCCCCGGAAACCCGCAGGGGCGAGTTCTGCTCTGTCCCATAGGGCGGCCATGAGCCAGAATCAACTCGGCGACAGTGAGTGTGAGTGCGTGCGTGTTATCTTTGCCAGCCTCTTGAGAATTCACTGGTATCGCATTGTGGTTCAGAAGCCCTGGTGGCAGAGCAGCTACACACTGGACCGCGAGCTGGAAGACTAGCAGTTGCAAACCACCAGCCGCTCCTTAGAAGCTGAGGTTTTCCACGGGAGAGATGTGAGAGCCGTGGATGTGATTCCAAAGGCTTTCTTTGAGCACAGTCACACTGGGATCGTCATCGGGACAGACCTGACTTCCGTGCCCTTCTATGTGAGCTGCCTCAGACGTGGAACTCTTGACCTTAAGACTGCCTTTGGAGATGTTAAACTGAGAATTCTGTTAACTTACATTTTATGGGTTGGTGCATTATACTGACTGCAAGAAACAGTTGACTTTCAGCACAGTGCAAAGTTCTTTAAAATGCCTACCTCTTTTTTTTTCTAATCCTGTTTTGTTTTGTATTTTAAATGTAGTTTTCTCATTTAGTAAAAGTTGTCTAGATATGACAAAATGCCAATTTATAAACTATCAAGGGCTCATGAGGGAGGGGGGAGCGGGGAGGGAGGGGAAAAATGAGGACCTAATGTCGGGGGTTTAAGTGGAGAGAAAATGTTTTGAGAATTATGTACAAATGCGCTTCACACAATTGATGTGTGTATGGATTGCGGTAACAGTTGTATGAGCCCCTAATAAAATGTTTTAAAAAAAAAAGGTGTCTAATTGGGGGGAAAATAACAAAACAAAAAAAACGTGCACAGAGGCAGTTCTACCCTGTCCTATAGGGGCGCTGTGGGTCCACATCGACTCAATGGCCCTGAGACCGAGTTCTCTTTCACGGAATGTGAATTATTTTAAGAAGCGTCAAGAAGACACAAACAATCGTGTTTCATGAAGAAGAGGGCGGAGCCTGGGGAGCCACCCCAGGCCTCAGAGGCACAGGGAGGCCGCCCACCTGGTCAATGGAGTCCCACATGGACAGCTCGCCCTGCTGCTTGTGCTCGTCCTTCTTGTCCTCCATGTTGATGTCCACGTCCCCGCGGGGGCCCAGCTTCTTATGCTGAGGGGGCAACACACAAAGCTCGACCCCTCCAGACCCAGGTGTGGGACCGACCCACCAGCCAGCCCTCACCCGCACCGCCCACCGTCTCATCCCTGTCCCTCACTGCATCCAGGTCTGTGGTCAGCGCCGAGCATCCCTGCACGCTGCCCCCAGGCAGAGCCACATCCCCACCAGCCTGCCTGCGAGACCCTACGCCCCCCCACACATACACACGCCTCCACCAGGAGATCCAGCGCCCCTTCACCGTCCATCTCCCTGCTAGAACACAAGCCCACGGCCCTGCAGGGCACCAAGGAAGCTGGGGGGCAGGACCCACCCCGGAAAACAACCTAGTTCCACACGAGTCCCTGCTGACAGGGGCACATCGCAGGCAAGCCAGGAAAATGGGACTCGGGCGGTTTCCTTGGCAGGGACAATGGTATTTCAGCATATATCGCGCCTGCGTAAATAAACGTGCCAGGCACAGAACTCCAGAGAGACGCGTTGGACACAAATGAATGAGGGAGCCACGCAGTTAACGTGCGCATTACAACATGTGCATTCTCTGCATTAAAATATCATAACTGAGTGACCTTGCCCAAGTCCTTCAACCTCTAAGCCTCTGTGTCCTCATCTGTAATGGGAAGAGGGGAGGGAGAGCCGCAAGATGAGAGACCGGGTGGCCCATCCTGCAGGGGCGCTGTGCTGAGACTGGAGAAGAGAGTGCTTGTGAACCAGCCTCTCCTGACACACAGCAGTCTGCCCGTGCCGGAACAGTGAGGGACGAGCCCTCGCGGGCCCCACGTGCGGGGGTGGGGGAGATGATGACTGCCTTCCTCAATTCAGACCCCACAGCAAGAGCCAGGGAATCTGGGGGCCACTCGGAGTATGAGTCAGGGGAGGTGCGGAGCTAAGAGCCTCGCTCACTGCTGCCTGTGCCCAGCTGCCAGCAGCTAGATGCTGCCTGGGGAAACTCAGGGGCAGTGTCCAGCCACGCAGGGCCTTCACAAGTCCCTGGGGATTGTAAGTAGCTAGTGTGCTCGGCTGCTAGCCCGCAGTGGGCAGTTCCAGCCCACCCTGTGGCTCCTCAGGATAAAGGGCTGGCAACAGACTTGGGAAAAACCAGCCACTGTAAGTCCTTTCGGACACAGCTCTGTCCCGACACCACGAGCTGCCTCGGGGATGACCGGTCTGGCCACCTGGGTGGCAAACGGTAAAGCATTTGGCCATGGACTGAAACCTTGATGAGTTGAGTCTGCTCAGAGATGTCTTGGAAGATAGGCCTAGTATCTGCTTCTGAACAATCATAGCCATTGATCAGAGTCACTGTTCATTGATCACAGCCATTGATCATTGATTACAACCATTGATCATAGCCATTAACTGATCACAGTTATTGCTCATTGATCACTGATCGCAGCCATTGATCACAGCTATGGATCATTGATCACAGCCATTGATCACGGCCATTAAAACCTTGTGGTTTCCCACCAGGCACAGAGGGGCCACTCTGAGTCAGGGTGCACTCGATGTCACCTGGATTGCAGTTTGACTTTGCCTTCAGTTTCTTCATTTCCTGGTAACACAAGCCCCCCAGCTGTCTCTTCTTGTGGCATCCCTGGCTCCCAGGGCACAGCTGACCACCACCCTCTCCCCAGAGTACTGGGCACACCCAGCCACAGCACATGGTAATGGTCTCCAGGTCTTTTTCTCACGCTGAAGGGGGCCCGGGTTGGAAGTGGTGTCTGGGTCTCTGATCTCTGCAGCACTGGCCCAGTCTGGCTCTGAGCAGGCACGTGGGCGAGGTTCGCCCACAGCCAAACAAAGAGCACTAGCAGGCCAGTGCCCGGTGCACCCACGCTTCAGCCACATCCCACTCAGAGCCAGCTCGGAGGGGGCTTCTGTGCTGGTCCCCCGAGACCAGGGAGGATACAGAGGCCCCACGAGGTGGTGGGCCCTACCTGGAACAGAGGGTCCCCCCAAGACCCCATAGACCAGAGGGTGGCCACGCCGGGAGCTACCTTGATGATGATCTTCTCGCGCAGCTGGCTGGGGGAAGGCAGCTGGTCAGCGCTGGCCTCCGTGGGCTTCACAAGCAGCAGGCCGTCCAGCACCTCCGTGAAGACCTTGGCCATGTAGCGCTGCTGCTCCACCCCACAGTGCTGCTCGATGGACAGGATCACAGGGAAGCTGCGGTGGGCGGGCAAAGCGCCGGTCAGGAGGGCACTCCCTCTGCCACCAGGCCGTGACTCAGGCACCCCCTCTACTGCCCAGCACAGGGACACATCAGGGGCTGACTGACCCTGGGGCAGGGGGCAGGCATCGACCTGCAGCTTGGGAAGACCCTCTGCTTCTATGTGTGTTGCTTCAATAAGTCCTCCAATGGGAGAAAGGCTGAGTGTCCAGAGGTTCCTTGGAAGAAAAGCCTGCCAACCTACCTCCGAAACCTGACTCTGCAGAGACTGTGGGCCACCACTCTACCAACGCACGTGATGGCATGTGTGCGCACACTCCAACATGTGAGCTGAGAAAACGTGGGTCATTTCTGGCCATTGTAAGCAGTGTTTGATGAATGGTGCTATACACGTATCTGTCCATTTTCAATCCCTTTGGGAGCACACCTAGCCATGGAAGTACTTACTGATCGGCCCACGTTTCAGATGTGGAAACCAGGGCACAGAGCAGTGCCTGCCCCAAGCTGGGAACAGGCCTGGAACCCGAGTTCAGAGTGATCCTGAGCTCACTGACCCCCATCCACCTGAGGCTGCTCCACACTGCCAGGGAACAAGCAGCCCCGCTTCGCCTCCTCCACACAGCGGCAGAAAGCTCCTTGTCAATGACCAAGAACAGTCCTTGGGGAGTGTCGGGGGCTAGACCACAGGCCCTTGGCCTGTTGTTGCCAATAAAACTTTATTAGAATCCAGCATGGCCCAACGTCATCAGCATGGTCTGTGGTTACTTCCAGGTCCCTCGCAGATGGAGGAGTAGCAAACAAGACTACCTGGCCAGCAAAGCAGAAGTGTTCACTAGGTGGTCCTGTCAGCCTTGCTCTTGGACAGAGATCCGCCGGTGAGACAGAGAAGCCAGCCCGGAAAGCAGCCTCACCGAGGGCCCGTGTGCACCAACGCCTCAGTGTCTCCTCCTTGATCCAAGAGACGGCTGAGGGGTGACACTAGAGGGGTGACAGAGGAGGTTCAGCAGAAAGGGAGCAGAGGATGAGAAGAAGTCAGCCCATAAGTAGAACGGAGTGGTTCTGAGAAGGAGGTGGGCTTGTGGAGTGGGGGTGGAGTGGAGTGCCTCTGGACACTTAATATGGGGAGCTAGCTAGGTTTGCTCATCCACAGTGTAGGAACTGAGTGCCGATGGGTTGAGGGTTTCTGAAATGGGGTGAATCTGAACACTTTGAGGAGCTGGGTGCCTTGAGGTTGAAGTGCCTCTGGGTGCTTAATTTGGGAGGTCAAGCGGAATGCCTTTGGGTTGAGGCTCAAAGTGGAGTGAGATGCCCTTTGGCCAATAGCAACCCTAAATGCTTGATAACATGTCCTGACTAAGCAGTTTTATTTTGAGCATTTCCACCTAGATTTTTAGCCTAACCGCCCCCTAATAAATCCCATAATGTGAGCACTGCCCACACGCGGTGTGACCACCGCAGTGAATCACGAACCTAACTGAAATCCAGCGTTGGGAGAGACGCAGTCCTTGGTGTCAGAGTGGTTATTTATGGTGAGTTTATTTTTTAAGGGTGGGGGGAGACACCCCCCCTCGACTCTTAGATGGTTACTTTGTTACTATTCCCCGTTATAACTGAAAATAACGTAAGAAATGACAAGCTGCTTCTGGAGACGCCTGGGCAAAGCCAGGCTGCTTAGGGACTAGACATGATAGGGAGGCCAGCACCTACTGGGTTCACCTTGCCAGAGGCCCATGGCCATAGGCACATAACTGAAGGCAGTCAGGGATGGAGAAGATTCGGTCTGGGCATTAAAACGTTTGAGGGGCTCGTCTATTTGACACGACTATGGATATTGAAGATCTCTCCTACTTGGCACTATAAATAGCCCACAGGGGTGATGGAAATCAGCATGGTGATCATGATGACAAGAGCTTATAAGCCCATCTGCAGGCGACCATTGGTAGGATACGCTGAAAAGGGCATTAGAAATGGTCTGTTCCTTCCGGGCAAAGTCAAACCTATGCAAAAAATGCAGAACTGGGAGCTTGGGTGGAACCTGTGCTTCCCCTAGAAGTGCCGAGAGAAGAGCTTTCCATTTGAAGACCTGTTTGCGGGGAATTTTTGAATTTTGAGTAAGCAAGACGTCATTGGGTGACACGGATGGAGGAAACGTTCTGTGCCCATCAGAGAAAGTTCCCTTCTAGGACCGAGAGTTAAAGACAGCTAGTGAGCAGACAGTCTGGTAGGCTGGCAGGGCAACCACCTGGATCTACTTGCTGAGCAGCAGTGGGAGACATGCAGCCGTAAAGAGATGGCCGAGTTGGGACGCGTCCATTGGCACCGGCTGATGTGGTCCACAGAGACGGAGAGGAAAGGGCTGCGTGGAGTTTAAACAGGTGGTGGACACTGACCCTGTGAGCCTCGCCCTGAAGGGTTAGGGCTGATGAGAACGTGTGTGTGTACTCCAAAGGTTACAGCTGGTACCAACTGGCCTAGCACGGATGGCTAGGGCGGAGACGACCGGCATCCCAGGCGAATGAAAGAGGTCTGACACTGTGGGTCATGTGCTCTGGACTGGGCTGTGCTCATGGGTGCGGATGGCCACGTTCCGACCGAGACAGGGTTCTTCACAACACGAGACACTGATGTCGCCTTAGAATTCTGGGTTATAGGGTTTGGGCCCTTTGGAAATGGGCTATCTAAAATGAGAAATGCATGCAGCAGCTGGCTGACAAGCTCTTATGGGTGTGGTCACAGTAAAATGATTACAAGGGACAATGGTGAGAAGAGCCAGGGGGTGGCCTGCAGGGCATCTAAGGACTGAACCCCGACCCTGCTCAAGATGAAGCTTGGCCTCGTGTGCGTGCGTGTCCACGAAAGACAACGTGGGGGAGTGAGCATGTGTGCCCACGGGATGCGTCTGTGGGAGGGTGTGCAGGGGAGAAAGAGTGAGCACTGTGTGTGCATGGGGAAGGGGACGAGGACATCTATGTGACAGTGTATCTGTGTGAGACTGTGTGCAGGCTTGGGTCTCCCCCCACTTGGATGTGCAGAAGGGACCCTGGCTTTCATAGAACGGTTCACTTTCCGTCAGATGTGTTGAGCCCCATTTCTGGTACCTAGAGACCCCTCGCGGCCCCTCCCTTCGAGGCAAACCGTCTGGAGAGCCAGCAGCCAACTGACCTTGAGGTGACAAAGGCGTGGTCTTTGATGGCCTGCACCACGTCGTCAAACTTGATCTTGGTGGTCCGCGTCCAGCCGTGGTAAATGACGGGCTTCCCGTCTGGCCCGTCCCAGCAGTCCACTAAGGGGCAGAAGCAGATCCTCGCCACTGTGTCCGCCCCTCCACCCACACCCGTGCAAGGACCCCAGTCCCACAGCCAGCTCCGTTACTCCAATAACCCCACTGCAGGCCCAGACGTGAGGACACGCCCGTGCCTGTGGGCTCGTGGGGAGAGGGTTAGCTACAACACTCCGTGCGACTCGCCTAAGCGGCTCTTGTTCCAGACCCAGCGTCAGGCATTTTGTGTCCTGGCGTCACCTGTTTAGTGCATGGCTGACGGTTTCCGCTGGTGGAAGTAACAATAAAGTTACGAAGAATTCCTTTCTAAAGGTTCTTGAGAAAAGTCACTCAGATGTTACACATTGCCACAGGCTCTGCCAACCACCGCCAGCCGTCAAAATCTATCTCCCCCCTACGCACACACACAGGAAGAAACAGAAGAACAGTCTATACAAATGACTGCTACTGAAGCTTGATACCATGAAAGACACGGCGGGTGACCTTGGGGCCTCTGTCAGAGGTCAGCTGCTCTGGGCCGTAGGTGTTGCTGAAGGGGAGGCTGAGAAGCTTAAGCACGGAAGAACAGGCCAAAGGAAGCAGGCCTCCAGGGTCTGGCGCAGCCACACCAGTGGGTCCTAATGGTTTCTTTCCTAGTTTCTCAAAACTCCACATTTGGTGGGATCGAGTCAATTCCAACTCAGAGTAACCCCACTGGACAGTTGAGCTGCCTCTGTGGGTTTCCAAGCCTCTCAATCTATAGAGGAGAAGCCTCATCTTCCTCCCACAGAGCGACTGATGGGTGTGAACTGCTAACCTTGGGGCTAGTGGCCGATGTGTAGATGACGATACCACCAGGGCTGCTAGTTGTTGAGAGACCCCTCCAAGAGAGGTGATACCTGGTACCTGTGCCCACTCCAGCAACAACTATTAACCCGGCTGCCTCCTAAAAGCCCAGAGGTGGAGGGCAGAGGTTAACGAAGCCATCTCTGTACCCAGACAGTCAGGACACATTCTAAAGACCAGGGCCAATGCCCGCCAGCATAGGGTTCACACCAAAGGGACACAGCTCCAATCCAGCCAGCCAACGCCGCACCTCCACGAGGAATACGGCGGGGAATCCATCCCTCATCAGATGCGACAGGAACCTGGTTCTGCCTGAGCCTGCCCCACTGGGCTCAAGACATACAGCCTCGAGCAAGTCTCAGGCCAGTCTGGATGTGCCACACACCTCTCCTCTCTCCACCCAGGCCAGCCCTACTGTCGAGACCCGATGGGACGGAGCAGAACAGGTCCCTAGGGTCTCCACGGCTGTCATCTTTAAGGAAGCAGACAGCAGGGCTGGACTGCTGACCCTTCATGACCGCGGTAGCTATGTCATTTCATGTCAACTTGGAGATATGAAAAAAGGGGAGGGGTGGAGCTCGGCCTGTCAATCAAGTCACAGTCTGATGGTGCCTCCGTGTGGCTGTGGCCTTCTCCTAAGGAGGGTCCTGGGAACCTCCCCTTCTCTCTCTCTCTCTCTCTGCCTTCACCTTCCTGGTGGCGAACCACTCTGAGACTGGCCAGAGCCCTGGAGAGGTGCATGCTGGCCACAGGATCTGTGGGACTTTGCACCCACTGGCCTGTGACGTCCTGCATCACTGCGTGCTGGCTTCACGCGTCTGAAGAGGGACTTACAGACTAGTGTCAGACTATGGACTTGAGTTGGACCGGGCTAGGCTGTTTTCCTGATCTACACAGCTTCTTGATATCACGCGCTCCCTCACACATCTGAGCATCACTAAATTTGTTTCTCTACAACCCAGCCTGACGCAGTGACCATGCCCCCCCCCACACACACACAGGAGGACGAGCAACTCACACTCGATGCAGCGGCAGCCCATGCGCAAGCACCGGATGTATGCCTCTGGGGACGACTCACTGCGCAGCTGGTCACCTGTGAGGTACCTGAAGGACGGGAGGGGGGAGCTGAGTGAGGGCCAGCACCCAACACTGGGGCACCCTCGTAGACCTCTGCAGCCTGGGCCTGCTGCTCTTCTGGACAGCACTTGCAGGACGTCAGTGAGCCAGCACCACCTGGTCAACCGTGCAGGGGAGAGGCTGGGCTCCGGGCAGAGGCCCAGCGCGTTGCGTCGGGTGAGGGAGTTCACCGCCGGGTGGGAAGGCTGAAGGCACTAAGAGCAGCCGGAAAAAATGAGCCCAGCTGGGTAGAATCATGGCCAGAATGCCCCTTGGCAGCAAGCTGGCAAGAACCCCACCTAGTGCACTTCGGACATGCGATCAGGAGCTGGGTCCCTGGATGTCACGCTTGGCGAAGGAGGACACCAGAAATGAGGAGGACCCTTGACGAGATGGCTGGGTCACGGGGGCTCAAGTACAACCACGGGGAGGCAGGTACAGGACCGGGCAGAATTTGGTTTGGCTATACCAACGGGTGCTGTGGGTGGGAGCTGCCTCGATAGGACAATTGTCCACGGAGTCACAGGGGCCCCTGAAAGTCCTTACATCCGCCCACAAGCCCCTCGGCCTCCGTGTAGCTTGGTTTGGAAGGTGGGGGCCCCAGCTGGGCTCAGGAAAGTGGCTGGGCAGCTGTGGGTGGCCTGGAGCTGCACGGCGGGCCGTCCACCTGAACTGTCCTGGGAGCACCTTTCACACGGAAGGCGATTTCCGTGATCACAGGCCATACCTACTACAGACCACCAGGGGCCACCCAGGCCACCCTCGCTGTCATGTGTGCCCCTTCCGGGCACAGCACAGATCCTGCGTTTTATAATAACGTAAAGGGAGACGGTCTGTGGGCGCCATTTCCCAGCGGCCTGGGCTCACCATGGCTGTGCCCTTTCAGGCATTTTCGTGTCACCCGCTTAGCAGATGACGGCGGAACGTCACGCTTCAGTGTCCCCAGAAACCAGGATAATGTGCATGACTCTCCGTGCTTCCTCGCAGGCGGTCGAAGAGAGCCCGCAGGATCTGCACCTGCGGTTTCTATACTGCCCCCACCCCCCTTTCAAAAGGGTTTCTAGCCCCTTCATTGCCTTGTTACTATTCCAAGCCACCCAGCCCTCCGCCGACGGGAAGGCTTACGGGCAAGAGACACTAAACCTGGACCAGGAAACCATCCAGTCCCGCCCGGAAAGCTGGTGCCTTCTGCCAGCGCTTGCCGTTGGATGCCGAAGGCCTTCACTCCAAAGCCACCCTGTGGACAGCCCCCAGCCTTCCTCCTCTATCCTGGCGTGGCAGAGGATACCTGGCGGCCAGGTGAGCTCATCCTGTCCAAGAGGTCAATCTGACCATGAGCATCTCAGAAGGTGTAGATGCCCCTCAACCCCCCACCCCCGCAGCATTCCTGAGATGATCTAAGCTGATTCCGTCACAGGGCTGAGCAGAGCTAATTGCCTGTGGGTTTCCAAGACTTGTTAGGGGAAAGCCTGTTAGAAAGCCCTTGTGGCAGGTTGTATGTCCACTGACTGGGCCAT